AGCCTATAGCCGCAACACGCTGCAGCACACTATTGTTGAGTACAAATCGAAATCTATGTATAAGAAAGAGAAAAACAAGTAATAAATGTTAATCATATAGAAAGAAGTTGAGAAGTTGGGGTTCTGAGAAAAGATGATTTAGAATACGAGGGGTCGACACGGTTGGAGAACGTGATGTTATGAAGTATATGTATATATGTTTTGTAAATTTTACAGATTAAAGCATATAAAGGCTAGGAAGTTGCGTTGAAAATGCACAAATGAAATGAATGTAATTGAGGAAATGAATGTGGGATAAGAAGCTTGAATAGGAAACAATATGTAATACCATTGAAGTGAATTAGATAGAACTGACGAGCTTGGTAATCAAATGAAGCATTAGCCACAGAAAGTCTCTAATATTAATTAGTCGATTTTGGCCCAAGTCCTCTTGAAACTATCCCAAGCCTTTCATAAATTCGAACAGGACAGGTGTTGTACGAAATTATATCACACTTACAACAAAACCAAGATATTAGTTTTTGCTCATAACGGTAGACTTGCTGTGACTTACCTTGTTACTGTTCCAAACCATTGATTGTAGAATGCATAAAAGAGCCATACTAGAAGACAAAAAAAATGGAAAGGTAGAAAAATGAAAAATAGTAAAGTTTAAATAGTTTACGTTTTATGTCTCACAGGTAAACTGTACGTTTGAACTTAATTACGAAATTAATAAGATACAAAATGAAATCGAGTAGAAACTAAGTTTGACAGATTTTGTCGATGTAAATATGGGCTCATATCAGTTCAGAGACGACGTCGATTGTTTACAGTTTTGGAGTATGTCTCTCCCTGTTAATTAAAACGTATGTGTACAAAAAGATATGCCTTGGGCAACTTGAAGATAAACGGCATATAAATGGAAAAGGAAGTATGGGAAAGAGTTATGAAGGAGGAAGATAAAAAGTATTAGATATCAGACAGGAATTGAACATAATACAAATTCATTGTTCTAAGAAATAAGAAATGCAATTATAAAGTAGAAATAAAAGAAAATATTATATAACGATACGACATGGAATAATGGTTACACAATGAATATGATTTGAACTGAAGTTAAGGAGAGAAAAAGTACGGATTTGGATGCATTTCAATACGGCAATAAAATTAATGTGGTATTGCATTAATGCAGTGCAATGAATATAATTTACCAATTCTGTTTCTTCGTTTTGCAAGAAAATAATATAGTATAAACAATAAATGTAAAGGGGGCGCAAAAAGAAAATGAAAGAGGGGGAAATTGAATTCATTGCAATTGACAGTGAATAATTAATTTGGAATTTTGAACTTGAGTAATATAAAAGGAAATCTATATGCCATCTGTATATTCAAGGTATTCATAAAATGAGGAAAGTGAGAGAAATGTGAGGCTTATGATACTGACGAGGTCTGTCTTATTCCTAGACAATTAACACCGACTCGAAGTACTGAATTTCAGATAAAGTTTCTGACAACCCAGAAGTTCAGTCGTGCTTTTACATCTCTGCCTCCTAGAGAGAGAAGGAGAGAGAGAGAAGGGGAGAGACAGAGAAGGAGAAAGAGAGAGAGAAGGAGAGAGAGAGAGAGAGAGAGAGAGAGAGAGAGAGAGAGAGAGAGAGAGAGAGAGAGAGAGATACCGCGAGGATGGAAGGGGCAGACCAGAGCTCGAAAGGACATATTGAGATAGATTTAAGGACAAATTTGATCAGCAAACGTGAATTTACGTCCATAAATCATGCGCCACACAATTCGTTCACACACTCCATTTTCGAATTCACGATCGCAAGTCAACTTCACACAAACAAAACCATTATTACTCAGAGATAGTGTGTTCTTATAGATCTTTGAATTTTTCTGCCTGAAAAAAAGTGATTATTGGAGTTCTTTGAAAGACCCATTAAAATTTTCAGACTTCGTTCAGGGAAAACTGAAAGCATATTTACTAGTTTTTACTTCATGAATAATTTCAAGTGAGCAGTTTGTGGTTTAAAAAAATGCAATGTTAATAATTTCATTATTTTATACAGAGACGGATGTGGATACCCAAGTTCTTCATCGTTATCAATCCATGATACACACAGTTTCAAAATGTCATTTTGTGATACATTTAATACGGGTAACAATTGTTTTTTAGATTCTATTCCAGGAAAATTACCATTCCAATTTTCGAATAATGACTTACTTTAAAATCCATTCAAGGAAATTCGATTTGTGCTTCAATAAAATTACGCAATATATACGGAATCTAATATATTAATCGTAGAGAATATTTGGCGAATATCTGAAGCATTGATACCTCCCTGTCATTCAATGAAAGGAGTATATAATGCGAACGAAATGGACCTTATGGGGAAATTTTATTCGCTGAACTTTGATTTTATTTCAATATTAAAATAATTGCCCCTAGTGGCCAAGGAACGCCCATTATTTGGTTTGAAAATGTTTTCCGCATTGACACGCCTTATTCGTGAGTTCTCCTAGTACGTTCTGCATCCTTGGAGGCCAATACGGCCGTGAGGCTTTCTCTTTCTTCACTTCGCTGCGCACACGTTTTCAATAAGTCCAGGTCGCTAGCAACTAGTAGTCAGTGAACAAGATTTGTCTCGTTTAGAATGACATCTTATCCAGTCTTCACACCACTTAAGACTACCAGGGTGGTGACTTATTTCCTGGAATAAATTTTCCCGAGCTTTCGCGGTTTTCCCGTGCATTTTTTTGTATTTTTTTCTGATAAAATTTGTAATTTCACACTACTTAAAGAAAATATTAAAGCTATCCTGATTCTAACTGGTCATCTCGCTGGTTTCACCGTGGCAAGGTACAAATTAACTACAATTTCTCTGAGGAAACTGCTGAGCCAAAAAATGTTGTAATCCTGTATTATTGTTCTCAAGGAATATCTAGTTTTATAGCCCTCACAAAATTTTCCCTGACTTCTAACTATTCTTCTACAAATTCCCAAATTGATTCCCGACTTCTCTAGTGCAATTAAATTCTCTGACTTTTTTCAGTGTTTTCAGATAGTGGCTATGGTCTAGTTAGGGATAAACAAAGACCTCATCTAGACACATGGGTTCCAGAGTTCCGTGTTACTTTGTAGCAGGAAATATTGACACGCAATGTGGACTCCAACACATGGACATTAATACGCCGAAACTAATACATCAAAAATTCGACCCCATACATGGTTCCATTTCCCTCTCTAATATTTCACGAGATCTAATGCACTGCACGTTGTGAAAGCCTACGCTATTAGTTCATTTTACATCTACAAAATTTGCATTTGAGTGATATTTGCCCTCGACAAATATACATGTCGGGATATTGGTACTAAATTACAACTTATTGAAACATTATCGTCACGACTTTTGATTGATATCGCCCGAATAGGCATGCATTCGATGTAACCGCAAGATCCTTTTGAGAACTTCGTTGCATGAACACTTCACGCAGCAGAAGATTCCAGAAGCGTAAATGCGTCATTTTCAGCTCGCAGAACACCGCAAACTTTTTTTATCCACGAGTGTTACTCATGCATTCTTACACTTTTTGAGCTCCACAATGCTGAACGTTCTTGAACTATTTCTTCGCTGAATCATTAAAGAAACCGAAACACGTTCGGGTACAGAAAAGCCATGAGCCTGCGCGGCAGGCGAGAGTGTCACATTCATGATGCGACGCGACCAGTTGAAATCCTGACGTCGAAACCCTCTCATTTATATACGAAGACGCATATTTGCAATGTAGGATTTTTAGGTGTAAGTACAGTACTTTGTAGGTTGACAAAATTGTAAGCTAATAGAAAATAAATACCTGTTTTTTGAATCTATTAACAGTGCTACCTCTTCCCATATCTTGTTGAGCATATCTCATTTAAGGTGGTGTTTATGTTTAGACTACCTCGTTGAGGGTTCGGAAAACACCTAGGTCAGTAGTTCCCATCCATCGTGGCGATTGTTTCGATCGTTTTCGAATAAATACAAGACTTTTCAAAATCTTGCTGCAGTTTGCCTTTTTTTTATCTTTTCAAGCCGCATCACATGATTGTCTCTTTGCACCTCTGTACAACTGAGATAAAAGCGCAGTTACCAAATTTCGAATTTCTATTTTAATTACATTTAGAAACAACGTCAAGAAATTATAATAGGAAATTGATATTTTGATAAATTTACCAATTGTATAAATATCTGGTTAATTACACGGATGACGAACTTGGTTGACACCAATGATAAAGTAACGACCACAACATTAATTCACGTTTGTCAAGCCATCACACGAGTGTATTCCAATATTTTACCGAAGAGAATCCCTTTGCTCATCCTAGAAACGTGGGACAAGAAATATAATAATTTTTATTATGGATAAATATTTTTGAACGGTGATAATGCTTTGTAAAAAAATACTAAGAATACTTTATATAATCTGACTACTGCAGCCAAGTGAAAACTACTATTAGCTTATAAAGCTACTAAAGCCAAGTGAAAACAGAAAAATCGGTTAGAAGTTTTAGGAATTTTTTCTTGTGCATGGTATGATTTTGGCTGAAGATAGAGTGAATCGTATAATTGAACTAAAATGTGCAATACGAATAGTAGTTTCTGCTGAAACTCCTAGTAACCCGAAACCCATAACAGTGCATCGCACTCACTACAGTTTTCTGTTCAGACAGGAAATGACATCAAAACAAACAGATTATCAATTAGAAACAAAATTATAACTTAACATTAAACCATAAGTAAGAAGCATAAGATTATTAGCATAAAGAAAAGAAATCCAGAAAATGGGGTTAATTTCTTTCCACGATTTAAAAACCAAAGAAGAAAGCAAGAAACCAGATCAGCAAAGAAGACCATGAGAGAGACTATAATAAAAGCACCAAAGGCAGCTCCAGTTCATCCGCAAGGGCTTAAGCTTTTCTCATGCAGCGCCATGCCACAGAGAAGGGGAAGGGGAAGACGCAGCCGCGGCGGCGCACTCACTGTCCAATTTGGCAGGCACATCGTCGATGACGCACTGCTTGGTGTAAGAGTCCTCGATGGTGGGGTCGTAATCGGTGACGAAGTAGCTCTGCAACAGTGGTCGGTGCGGATGCGGTTAGAGGAGAGAGACAGAGAGAATGACGGAGGAAGAGGTGGAGAGGGAGGGGCGAGACTGGAAGCGAGCGAGGCCGCGGCGCAGCGCAGCGCAGTCGTCCACCTGCTCAATATGGATGGACGCGCTTCGAAACCTCTGACCTTCACTACAACTGGAGAGGGCAAAGCTAACGACGAAATTATGACGTTGTCAAGACAGACATTACAAAGAAATATGAGCAGTTCACTTCATTTTTTTAGCAAAAACACAAATATGATATGAATACCGCCCGAGACAAAATGGTAATTTTTTAAAAACATTAGTACCCGATTGATAACGGTAATTGAATTTCTCAAAGTATTTTGGTTGGAAAATTCTTAAAAAACAAAGGAAGATGTTATTTCCAAATGGCTACTTCTCCAATCTGCGCGGAAATGAATTACGCTCACTATTTGATTCAAAATATGTTTTAAGCTTTGTTGCACGTGAAAACGTCACACATCCACTGTTTATTAATATTATCCGAACAGGACTTTTTCACTTCGAATGTGCCACTTCTCCGAAGTTCCCGCGCCTTCCAACATAGCGTAGGAACCATGATTAGGGATGCGAACTAGTTAGAAAACATCTATATTAATTTATCGCCTCAAAATTCTATTATCGCCGTTTTAAAACTTTCTTAGTGACCCACAAGATTAATGTTCGTACGAGAGAAGTATTTTGTTTGATAGTGGCAATGTTTATTAATTAATAATTATAATTTAATTGCCAAAATGAAGTCAAAAAATATAATTACAACAACTTTATTATCACATTAATAAATATAATAGTAACAACTTCATTATCACATTTCAATTGACAAAAATAATGCACTACAAATATCAACAAAAATTGAGTTATAAGTAGCAAGTATTATATTATTTTCAACGTCTAAAGACTTGATACTTTAAAATAAATATATACAACAAGCCAAGCAAAATTTCGTAGTGAATTCACTTCAAGTGGGGGATTCCTCCATTCCATTCTTTCTAATTACGATCCTGACTATCACCCCCCTCCTCGACCATCAATAAAACAGAAGAGAACTAACAGTGTTCTTACTGGACCAAATTCCAGAGCAATGGTGAATTGCAATTTGTCTCGCTAGGGACAACGTTCTCCTTTTATCTGAAAGTGAGACACTCCTGGAATGTAGAATTTCCTCTTTTTAAGATTCTTTACCCTTGAAAAAAAATTCAAATTTACTTTCGTAAAAATGATGACAGGTTTTACTCAACATTATGGTCTCCTTTTCATTTCAAAGAAATATTGACATCGAGCACAGCATGTTAAAAAATATGGACTTCAATAAATCGATGTTGAAAACATCGACGTTTTTTAAATATCGACAATGATGTCGCATCCGCAATGGAAATTCAGCCTTTCTGAAATAACCTATTTAAGTATAGTGCTTACAAAATGAATAATATCAAAGATTAAAAGTAATTTCATTTCATAAGCAATTGGATCATTGGATAAGCAAACAAAATTCCATCAGCTATTTACGACGTTCTAATAACAATCAATGTTTTTATTATATTCACTGTTTATGAAACTAGTGTTAATTGTTAGGGCGACTTCAATGATGAAAATATTAATTTAAATTACAAAATTGTAAATCACTGATATGCATTTTTTATGACCCTGCCATTTCTGAGTGTTTCTGTTTGAGTCACAAATGCTCGTTATACAGAAAAATTATTTTATTTTAAAACAATGGTCCCTTTTACAATATTTGATTTCTTTCTTAAAATGTACGTGAATTTCTGTCACTGCAGATGACTATTTCCTAGAACGCTTTGCCTGTTTGCCTCATAACCAGCAAGAAACACGGATCACTAATCTAAAACAGTCCTTTAATTGGCGTACACACGCAAAAACTTGATGGGGAGGATACCTTCATGACTGGGTCCTCTTTTCCATTGAACTTTTCTTCATTTACGTATCACCTATTTAATAGTAAAATAATAAAATATAGAAAGTTAATTACATTACAACTTTAATGAACAAATTAATAAAGACAATTGACATGTTACACCATTTATTCGGTTACCAGACGCTTCGAGAATCTTCTCCAACTGTAACGTATCCAAATGTATAACACTTTGCCAACTTTTCAACTTAAAATGGAGAGAAGTGAAAAAGGTTAGAACATATTTACAAAAATGTTTCATTATGTAAGGCTACGGGTCCCTTCCAAACATTTCCCAAACGGCCCCCCCCGTTGGCCCCCACCCACCCCACCCACCCCGCACCCCTGTGGCATGTCTTACAGCGCCTTCAGTTCGCAGCCGTTCTACGATTTCTAGTGACATTTGCGATTCTTACAAGAAACTGTAATTGGATAATAGCGTATGCAAAAGCGATCGACATTTCGTAATTCATTACACTGGGTAAAAGAATAAGATTTTTTTTTTCAAACTGACAACGATAATTGATCTAAGGTTGTTCTTCGGAAAATAACTCCTAAAAAATAAACATTACAAAAAACAAAAAAACAACAACTAAAATTATGGGTCTGGTGCGCCTGCTCCGAAAAGCAAGGTCCTAGTTTACCCTATCTACGTGTTTGCCGCAGTTTTCTTACACGATCACACCAACCCAAGTTTGTTCCGTAACATAACAATTCATTAAGACAAAAAAAAATCATTCAATTTGTACGACTATCCGTACGATTGTCCGATTTTGTGAACATTGTGTAGATTTTTTTATTTTAAAACTGAGGTTATCACGGAATATAAAAGTTTGCAATTCATATATTCACGATTGTGATTCTAGATTGCATTTGCGACAGTCAGATGGCGACGTTCACTATTGATTGATTCATGATTCAGAGCGCAACAACTGCTAATTTGTCCAACGCCAATGTCGTTCGTTCCGTAAGTGTAGTGCATGTATTTTATCATGGGAAGCTGTTGTCTTCTCCCGCTGGATGGCGAGATACGGCGCCGACCTACCAGCTGGCTTCTGTGCTTTTCTCAACCAGATATCTCTCACCAGCAGAGCACCGTCCCAGACAGGACAAGCTCTGAGCTCCCGACCGGAGTCTCGGCATGTGTGGTAGAGTAGTGCAAATAGGTTTGTAAGTAAGGTGTGGGGATAGGACAAGGAAGAGGTAGGAAAGCTAGCGCGCGGTCCATGGCTCTGTTTTAAGATATTGCTCCGGCATTAGCTTACCGAGAAACAACGGAAAACTTTCGATTTGAGCAGCAGGCCGCTAGAATTGTCCTCCACATAGCGGCTGAAATCGACCTAGCTATGTAGATCGCACTGCCACCGTCGGGGCTCGAATCCTAGGACCTCCGAGCCAAATGCACTCAGTGACAGGAAGTGATGCCCTAGCCCACCTAAGCCGGTTTCACTGTTATCTTCGAGAAAATCCTCACTACTGCAACTGACTCGAATATCGGGCTCACTACATTACAGCGCGGCAAGCAGCTGATTGATGGCAGAACAGCGCTTACGGAGAACAATGTTGCCACTTCCATGTTGCGCAGGACGCGTAAAGAATCATGCAATGAATATCAATGTCTGGTGTTTCATTTCAGAGATTCGCAAGATTCCGACTAAGATGTGGAAAGTGTAAATGACATACTTGAAACTAACTAGTTAAAAATTAAAGCAATCCATAGGCGATATCCATATTATCAGAAATTTGGAAACAGGGGGTAGAAATTATAATAATCTGAAGAATCACGGTAACGAAAACAAAAATAATTTGAAATTGATTGTGAAACTATTATGTTGTTCAGAGTATTTGCACACTGCAACGCACGCGGTAATTTATTATATAAGGCCATTTTTACGGCAAACACTTTGAATTATTCGGCACTTGTTTGAAGCTGTAAAAACGGTTTTGCAATTTTTTAGAACGTATTCCTCAATTGTAAATAATATAATTTATTTTACGATGTATGACCCTATACAGTTTCCTAGAATCTACACCTTAATTTTTTACAGTCCACTCTAACTCTGATTCAAATGACTCAAAATGAACTCGTTCTGCGGAAGGGAAGCTGTCTTGCTACGCGACAAGTCATTACTCTCGTGACACTTCAGCCTTGAAAAGTTTCGCAATAGTCGTCGGTGAGTGCGAAAGAAGATATTAAATTTCTCCTTTTGCATTTATCTGCAAAACGGGATTCCCATTAGAAGGTTTCAGGATCCCAGAATAGAGAACAGAAGTCGTCGCGAGCTCACAAAATAGTTTGTATTGATTAAATCAAACTCAAGAACCACATTTTTTAAAGATGCGATTTGTCTCACGCTCCCCGCCTCGTCGGAGTTCAGAATGTCCAATCCAAGAAATAAGAATACGAAAAATCCACGACTCCTCCGTTCATGGACGTAACTTACAGGGCAGAGCACAAATTCACTCATGGACTTATCCAGTAATGAAAAACTTCATTATTTTCTAGAACTGGTCAAGGTGGGTAAACGATAGGGAAGTGGGCCGGAATAAAGGAGAACGGTCCTTCAATAGTGTAATAATTTAATGCCATTTGTCTATGGACGATTTTAGCTACTTCATTGTATTTCTCAAGGCATGCAATATTGGCCAGAGCTGGGCATTCTACAATTACGAGGACATGATCTATGGTTTCATTTGGTTCACGATACATTCTTTAGATCTCTTTGACACAGGTCCTTTCAATATGTTTATCACAATTTCGAGATGATATCATACCTTTTTGAATTTCTATTAAGGACCTTGCTGTTTCAGGGAATAAATATTACAATTTCAACCATTGGAGAAAGGTGTATTTATTAAGTTGAATTATGTAAAATGTGTTTCATGAAGGATCTTGCTTTTCCAATCTGCCTGCCATTTACTCTGGGAAATATCTTCAAAGTGAGTCTGGTGTGTTATCACAGAAAGTGGCTGTGATCTTCCTCCGCTGGATGGTGAGATCCTGCGCCGACAACTCGTCACTGTGCCTTTCTCCCACCAGCGG